AACAGACACTTTAAATGAAGGAGTGATACACCATGAAACTTAAAGTTTTCTGCAATAGCAGATTCTTCTCGAGATCTTGAAAATCGCATCTGCCTCAATCGCAGCCCTCTTATTTGCTTAGATGCTTAGCTTAGATGGCCTGTCTTCACTCGTCGTGCAGACTTAGCATTGTTTCCATCCGGTTCTTTCTCTCGCTAGCGTCATCCACGATGTTGGGCGAAGTCCAACAAGATGTTGACTGCGTCGGTTGTACTTCAGAAGACTCGCTCCAGCGCTCTGTGGGTTGCTGGGAGAGCCTTCGACGTAGCCCAAGTTTTAGGCCATGTCTTCGCTGCTAACAGAGCACAGATAGAACGGTTGAATCGAACAGGTGGGCTTGGAGCGCTAGATCCGTCAGTAGGGCTGTCTTCCTTTAGGGGCCCAAAGGCGGCCCAAGCTGCTTTTCGCCTCTTGTTTAGTTCTTTTAAATCGTTCTCCATGTTCATCTAACGTTCGAGATATCTGTAAGAAGACGTCTCTGATATCTTGGAGAGCCTTCTAATTCCATTTCTAAACCTTCGCAAAAGGCGTTCTTCAAGTGATTATTCTTCCGGTTAGTTTGCAGTCCTATCCACTTCCCTACTTCGTTTAGTTCCTTCAACATCGTATCCGCTTCAGACATCTCCTTTCCTGTGCTGCCTTCAAAGGTTTTGATTGCTACTTTTTAAGATCTAAAGCTGTTCTGCAATGGTATTGCTACCAGTCGCTCGAGAGTTATGCAGTTAGATTTCAGTGCTCTTCTCCTCTCTAGCATATTCTTAGTGGCAAACAGATTCTTGGTGGAAATTCGTTCTAAATTCCATGTTTGAGGCATCGACAACTTTCACCACAGGCTCTCAATCCTCTGAGAATCAGGTCGTAGTCCTTCGGTTCCCTCGATAGGCCAGTACAAGTGGTCAAGAGCTCCTTCAATCTGGCGTCATGTGCGACTTCTCTCCTTGCTCCAATACGGGCAGATTTTCTTTTCCGCCTTTCGGCTTACTCGCTTTGCTCGAAGGCGGTGATCTGAGCCACCACTGAAGGATGGTACCACTGAGACGTCCACTAAGCACCACCTTCGGTTGGTGTGTGGCCGATCTCTGCATGAGTCGTACTGTTGGGTGACTCTCATGTCCATCGCCGGTGTTCTTTCACGAAGAGTGAGTTGCCAAAAAAAAGTCGTGCTGTTGATAAGAACCCAACATGACAGTTACCATTATCATTCCGGAGTCCTGGTCCAAATCTCTCAATAATATGCTCCCCTTCTTCTGACACCGCGGTTTTCGCAGTGAAGCCACCTACGGCAAATTTGCATGAGGACTTCTCTTTGCGAATGACTTCTTCCAAATCCTCGTAAGAAGCACTAAATCCCCGGAGAATAGCAGTTGATGAAAGTGATGGTTCTGTGTAGACGACGGAGTCAAGGATAGCCAGGCGAGGTGATGAGATCTCATGCGCTTCGACAAGATGGACAACAGATGGGTCTACTGATCCAACGTCTCCAACGTCTCATGGTGGAACTTTTCTCACCACGAATGATAAGTGTGCCATCACTCAGCTGCCACACGTCCGTCTTCCTAAACGTTATTTCCTACAAGACAATGTAATAGTTGATGCGCCCTGCAGCTTCGAGAAGGGCGTGAAGATCGGCGTTGGTAAAGACTTTGTAGGTGCAGAGCATGAGACGATTTCTATGGCGAGTGGTTGACGTGTCCTCTCCGAAAATCCATGACGTCCTGTGCAATCTGAAACTAGTCTTGATGAAATCCGACGCCAGAGAGCCGAACCTAGCAGCCTTACCAGGGCTTGCCAAGCTTTCACCAGAGCAACCACCTAGCGACTGAATCAGCAGAGGGTGAGGGTGTCTGGCATGGCCACTCTTAGCTAGGCATTCGGGCAGTCCGAAACGCCAAAATTCTTTTCAGCTTGGAAGATCCCACTGGAGGATAAACCTCGGCTGTAATTCGCAGTTCGACACCCAGAGTCACCTCCGCGCCACGATGAGGCGGGCGGGGCCATTGGAGGAGCCCCCTTACTATGATATCGGAGAAACCTAACACAAGAATCTCTTTCTAGACTTACATCTCTCAAAATATCTAAAATTTGAGCATTCTCCGCATATCCACTTTTACAGGAAGTTCTTCAAAGTATTTGCTGCGAGCGATGATAATAACATATGTTTGTATGTATGAACTAAATTTATCTCTAGTTTTAGAAGGAATCTTTTTGCAGTATAAGAGTGACGATAGGTATCAAGATTATAGAGATGAATACTAAAAGAATGAATGTTTGACTATAAAACTAAGTTAATCAAAGGCCAAATTGCTACGATTTCCCACTCATTTTCTTCTAATTTTTGCTTTGCCTAGGTTGCTTTCTAAGTAAAAAACACAAAACAAACAAACGAACAAACAAAA